TATATATATATATATATATATATATATATATATATATATATATATATATATATATATATATATATATATATATATATATATATATATATATATATATATACATATATAGATATATATATATATATATATATATATATATATATATATATATATATATATATATATATATATATATATATACGACAGTACTTGCTGTGAATCCTATTTGGATCCTTCGCCCTCGAGGAGATTTCGTTTGGCATTGCCAAACCTAATATCAAATATATAGCCTAATATCCCTTTATATAGCCTTTACTTTCGACTTTTTCCACTTTCATAAAGGGGCAAAACAAGGCAAAAAAGAAAGGCTATAGCCTTTACTTTTCGTCCATTTTCAACGACTATAGCCTGTCCTTACCGTCAAGAACCTTTTCCTCACTGTCAGAAACTTGTCCTCACTGTCAGGAACCTTCTCCTCAGCCTCAAGAACCTTCTCCTCACAGTCAGGAACCTTGTCCTCACCGTCAGGAACCTTCTCCTCACTGTCAAGAACCTTCTCCTCATTGTCAGGAACCTTGTCCTCACAGTCAGGAACCTTGTCCTCACAGTCAGAAACCTTGTCCTCCCTGTCAGAAACCTTGTCCTCCCTGTCAGGAACCTTGTCCTCGCCGTCAAGAACCTTGTCCTCACAGTCAAGAACCTTGTCCTCACCGTCAGGAACCTTGTCCTTACTGTCAGGAACCTTGTCCTTACTGTCAGGAACCTTGTCCTCACAGTCAGGAACCTTGTCCTCACTGTCAGGAACCTTGTCCTCACTGCCAAGAACCTTGTCCTCACTGTCAGCAACCTTGTCCTCACTGTCAGGAACCTTGTCCTCACTGTCAAGAACCTTGTCCTCACAGTCAGGAACCTTGTCCTCGCCGTCAGGAATGTTTTCCTCACTGTCAAGAACCTTGTCCTCATTGTCAGGAACCTTGTCCTCACAGTCAGGAACCTTGTCCTCACAGTCAGGAACCTTGTCCTCACAGTCAGGAACCTTGTCCTCACTGTCAAGAACCTTCTCCTTACTGTCAGGAACCTTGTCCTCACTGTCAAGAACCTTGTCCTCACTGTCAGGAACCTTGTCCTCACGGTCAGGAACCTTGTCCTCACAGTCAGGAACCTTGTCCTCCCTGTCAGGAACCTTGTCCTCGCTTTGAAGAAGCTTGTCCTCACCGTCAAGAACCTTGTTCTCACTGTCAGGAACCTTGTCCTCACAGTCAGGAACCTTGTCCTCACTGTCAGGAACCTTGTCCTCACTGTCAGGAACCTTGTCCTCACTGTCAAGAACCTTGTCGTCACTGTCAAGAACCTTGTCCTCATATATATATATATATATATATATATATATATATATATATATATATATATATATATATATATATATATATATATATATATATATATATATATATATATATATATAATTGGTTTGGTATTTTTACTTGTTTGTTTCAAGGTTTATAATCTACATATCAACAACAGTCACTTACCTAATATAATTTTATCATTAATTAATTCTGTACAGACCTCAGTCACGACTGAATCAGTAAGCTTAAAAGTATATCAATCATAGAAGTTAGTGCCAGAGAGTGCTCAAGCCTAAACGAGCATATATAAAGTTAGATATTAATATCTAACTTTATATATACAGGGTGTATCAAAATAAACGCAATTCATCTTTTGTGCTTAATAACTTTCGAAATACTATTTCTAGTTAAACGCTTTTAGGCTTACTTCAAAGCCTGTTCTTTTCTCTTTCAAACAAACTATTATTCTTGTCTCCAATGCTAGTAATAATTGCACAGGAAAAGATTTAGTAAAACCTATCATTTTTAGTTGCTGTTTAATTATGCAAGTTTACTAGTATGTTATTGTTTAGTCGGTTTAAATGTTAGAATTTTCTTCTTTAAACTTTAATGTTGTCGTAACTACATCTGGAATACCACGTAAGAACAAATTAAAATTATTTTAAATTTAAAAGAGACCAGGTTGTTTGAAAATCCTAAACGAATACTAAAAATCGTCAAAACATTCTGGTGTCTGAGCCAGAGTGTCATCGAATTGCAATGTAATGTAAACAGAAATTATAGCAAATTGATGTCAGTCAGCTTAGATGGTCCAAGCCAAAATTATATCGCATTTGAAGTTTAAAACTGAGTTAAAAATAGTGGAAGAAAAGCCGTAATTATACTTATTGTTACAATCCATTTAATAAAATGCAACATTTTTTGTTTTAATGAAAAAATCAGTTATTTTCATGAGAACGATTTGTTATTCCATCTCAATTTTTTTAATCTCCAATCGCAATAACGTAAAGTATTATTAGCCGGGAATCAATGAGTCAAATTTAAGAACCAACCCACTGTTAGAAAGCTGAATGGCTACGCTTTAAAATGAATGTAAACTTTAAAGTTTTCGTCTATTATTTGTTTAGCAATTTACATTTCAGTTGAGGATTGCGCTTTTTTTGATACACCCTGTGTATATATATATATATATATATATATATATATATATACAGCTAATTCAAAAAGGTTGTCCTTTGCAAACCTCAAACTTTAAACCTTAAACTCTAAGCGCGCAAAGCATTATGGGTGTACTGATTTAAAGCTTAGTAGTTGACTATTGCAGTTGTTTGTGAGTGAAATGTTTTCGCAGTCACATATTTACCATGTCTCTAAGAAATGGGCTCCATATATGCTTTCTAAACTGCTTAAACAGTGCTCCCATTATGCTTTGCGCGCTTTGAGTTTAAGGTTTAAGGTTTTAGAGTTTAAGGTTTGCAAAGGGCAACCTTTTTTGAATTAGCTGTATATATATATATATATATATATATATATATATATATATATATATATATATATATATATATATATATATATATATATATATGTACTATTTAAAACACGAGTAGGAGTGTTTTATCAGATATATAACGCGAGGCGCAGCCGAGCATTATATATCTGATAAAACACGACAACGAGTGTTTTTCCTCACAGTCAGGAACCTTGTCCTCCCTGTCAGGAACCTTGTCCTCGCTGTCAAGAAGCTTGTCCTCACAGTCAAGAACCTTGTTCTCACTGTCAGGAACCTTGTCCTCACTGTCAGGAACCTTGTCCTCACCGTCAGGAACCTTGTTCTCACATAAAGAACCTTGTCCTCACAGTCAAGAACCTTGTCCTCACAGTCAGGAACCTTGTCCTCACTGTCAGGAATCTTGTCCTCACTGTCAAGAACCTTGTCCTCACAGTCAGGAACAATGCGAAGTATTTTCTGTGCATGCAGAAAGCACGTGAAAACGGGCAAAATTTTAAGACTTCCGGTTCAAATTCCCCACCCCGTTATCAAATGCCCCACCACTTGGAAGACCTAGAACGTCAAATTCCTTACTCCCTGGAGAAGATTTGAAGTCAAACTCCCGGGGTATGCCCGGGAGGGGGATAATGAAGTTTCGAATTGATCGGTACATTATCGTTTGGTGATTTGCTGAACATTAGGTACTTGAATTGTACAAAAACATCAAAATGAAACTAGTTTTAATATATTGTGCATTAAATATTTACAGTTAAAATTTTTCCTCGCTTGTAAAACCGCTGCGACATCGCTGTTAACATTGAGAGTCTGATATACTATTGCTCGAGTCAGGATTCCAGCCAGGACTCGAGCCAGGACTCGAGTAGGGGTTTCCACAAGTTGCTCGGCAACTTTTTGGCAACTTTTAGTTTTATGAGCAACTTTTGTTTTAAACGGCAACTTTTGTAACTTCGAGCAACTTTTCATGAATTTGGCACATTTTTAGCGTTGTTTAGCGATTTTGAGTTTACTTCCATTTTGTGTTGAAATATAGTTGGCCATATTAATAATAATAATAATAATAATAATGGTTTATTCACAGTATATCCATTACAAACAGAATGGCTCTTCACCTGTAAAATTATCTACATTATGCTAGATATACAGTAATCTATTATCATACAAGAACTACAAAAGTTAAAAAAGACAAATAATCCAATTGCAATGCAAACCGGAATCATTCACTGTTTTTAAAATGTATTTTTTATACAACGACAGAAAGGTCTATAATTGTTAATATTCCTGATTTCTGCCGGCAGCTTATTAAAAATGGAGCTGCTGCTGAGTCTTGAAATGTTCCTGACTTCTTGGGAATATCCAGGACAGGTGCAGAAGATGATCTTATAGACTATATGCATTAACGCAATGTATAGCGATAATCTTAAATATTCTGGAAAAGAATCGTCATGTAAAACGTTATATGCTAATTTTAAAATATTAAAATCCATCCTTTTACTAATGTTTAGCCAGTTCAAGGTGGCAAGGTCTTCCTGTCTTGCAAATCTCCTTAACAC